ATGCCAGACCGAACTTCCCGACCTCAAACGTTGTGGGCGGGACTAAGTTTGGAATGGCACCCAGGCTAGGGAGAATGGCGCTCGGCTTACCACACCGTGACGTCACTCCTGGAAGATGGCAGGAGGGAGGGGCTACTATATTTGGGCAAAAATGGACGCTCCCAATAAAAAAATAAAAATAATATTTCTAATCATTTATTAAAAATTATTTCTATTTTTTTTATTGATTACGCTAAATTCATTAAATCGCTGCATACGTATTAGTTTTAATAATAATAATAATTAATAATGATCCGTTAATTATTCTGTGCTAACCGGACTTTTTCTTTAAAAACTTATCAGATTCATCGGGACTCACTTTATTGGACGTCTGACCTTAATGTGAACAAGCATCAGGAGCTTCTTTGATGGCATTTGATTGGTTCCGCTATCGGGACAGAACAAATAATGGCGAGCCGTTATTTTTTTTTTAAATATAAAAAAAATGTTTTCAATTTTAATGTTTTATTTAGATTACAAAAATAATTAATAATGAAAATAAGACCTACGAAAGACTGATTTAAGACATTTTAATACCAATTAAGGCCTTAGTTTTATTTCGAGGAATTCAATGCCTTTTAAGACTTTTTAAGGACCCGCGGGAACCCTGGATGATAATATTGTAGCTAAAAATGATCTTCCTTATGAAATTTCCACCTCTGTTCAAGCATGCATATTAGAGTCCTGCACGGGTCGAGTTTTACCAACCCGCACCCGCCCGAACCCGTTAGGATGACTACCGAACCCGACCCGTCACCCGCGGATATCTTCAATTTAAATCCGAACCCGACCCGACCCGTTGATATTTGACCCGTTAAGACATCCAGTAATAGGCTATAGTATGCTGTGCTGCAGAGCAGCGCCATTAACACTGCAGCAGACGTGTATGCACTGACTGTGGCCTTTTTGGAGGGAAGCCCACACTGCCGGGAGGGCTTTAAGCTACAACAAGGGTGACCCCAGTGCCTGATTAATAGAACATTTCTGATGTCCATAACAATAGACACGCATAAAAAAAATAATTAAAAAAAATCACCAACTACCCGCCCGCACTAAAAAAAATATCCGCCCGACCCGTTTATTTTTATTTATGTATTTTTCACCCGCAAAAGAGCATTTTTGCGGGTGACCCATTGCAGGACTCTAACGCATATTTCCCATAATCAGGACTAAAGTAACGTTGGAACAAAGACAAAAGGTTAGCTGCATTCCACCTCAAAATGCAGGAAATAACGTTACAGAGTCTAGATTTCACCATTTTACAGGGGAGGAAACCTCCGGACCCCCCATGCCACGCCGCACAAAGCCTAAAGGTGTGACACACCAAGGCGTCACCGTATGAAATAGTTCTAGATAAAAACCTGATCTAGAACCAGAACTTTCCTGAATCTTGGTTCCATCAGTGTTAAGCGCTGGGTATACTCCCGCAGCAGACGAGCTGCTTTCTGAGCAGAAACCAGGCTTTAATTTCTGTTTCTACATGAACTGAGATGCAGCTGCTGCTGCAGACGCTGCCCCCTGCAGGCCGTTTGCTGAGGCCCACCTGATCTCCAGAGAGGGAAGATGCGGCAGGAAGTCGTTTCCCACGAAGAAGCACATGAAGACCCAGTCGTCGATGCTCCTCTCAAAGTCGAAGGGGAAGGGCAGGCTGGCCATGGTCAGCTCTCTGGCCAGGTACTGAAAACAAGGGAGGAAGCAGCCGTCTTCAGGAAGTGGAAGGCTTTACTTTTTTTTTTATTTGCTGTCTACATGCAGGTAAACGGACCTCCCTCAGGACGCAGAGCCGGATGAAGATGAACTCCTGCTCAGCCACAGGCATGGCGTCTGCAAACTCGTCGTGCTGAAAGCAGAGCAGGAAACGGGTCAGAACCGAGGAGAATTAAACCCAGTCTCTACGGTAAAGAGAGGCAGACCTGGCCCTGCTTCTCCCGGGCCACGCCCTGACACTCCTTGATGTCGTGGCCCATCTGTCCGCAGAGCGCGCACGGCCGCGGCTTGTTGGGCTTGAACTCCTCCCTGATGATGGTGAAGTTGGGCTCGTGGGTGGCCAGGCCCAGCATGATGAGGTCAGCTGCTCGGACACAAACAGAACTTAGGATAGAACCGGACCTGAGGGACACCGACCTGCTGTTGGCGGAAGTTCTTACCGTCGGCTCCACACAGGCAGTGATGCGTGTTTGGGTCGTGGTTGGGTTGAGCTGTGGAGATCAGATCACATTTATCAGGATTAACTAGGCCAGCGTCACATTTTCTGGTTCTAACTGAACGGAAACATTAATCCTCAGAGGTTCTTAAAACCCTCCACCTGTTCCACCTGCGGTTCTGGTCCGAACAGGTTTGGAACTTTGACTAAGATGAAGCGTGGAGTCAGAACTCTGTAGAACCTCCTGAGCTTTGATCAGTTCACTTTCAGTAAAAACTCTCGGTTGCATGGAGAACATTTTTAGAGTCTCTCTAGAATTCATCTGTCTGGCCTTTGACTACGCCGTTCTAACCCATCCATCGTCTCTCTGTCTGGTTCTCCTCCTGGAAGGTCAACATTTAGCTGCAACCACCTGACCAGCTTTGTGGCCCGCAGCATGATGGTGCCATCCCCCTGCTTGGCTCCCTGTCCTGGAGGAGGCAGAGAGCAGCTTGCAGGGTCTGAACCAGAGTCCTGCACGGCTCTGATTTTTATAGACTTTATCCGTAGAGTTCAGAACCGAGACCCGAACCCGTTAACTGCAATTATCTGGAAATTCTAGAATCGATTTAGTTTTTAAGAGTTTAATTAATAAGAAAATATAGCCATATATAGCCTAGGGGTGGGTGATATGTCGAATATACTCGATGTGTCTCGAGTTTTCCCACGCATGATAGTTAAAAGGACTATCGCAGCCATCGAGTACAAATTTGCATGACATTTAGCCGTCTGCATCTATTTCACAGAGTTTTATTGTTCGCACACACTTTGAATGCATCATAAATAGTGTTGCGCCGATGCCATTTTTTGGCCCCAATACGATACCCGGCTGTGCAGAATCAACCGATACCATCTGTTTGAAATTGATGTGTGTGTATATTAGGGGTGTGCAAAATGATCGTCATGACGATGCATCGCGATTTTAATTTTTGTGATCTACTGCATGGATTCTTGAAGCCAAGTATGGATTCTTAATTTTAAAAAATAAATGAATAAAATAGGGGAATGGTTGTCGTACAGCAGCCAAAAACAAGTGGAATGCAATTTCCAGTCCAGCAGATGTCGCTGCGGATGTGTTGACGCCCGTCCCAAGCATGTCCGGCCGCGGGATACTGCGCCGAGTCATTCGTAAATAAACCATGGAGGAGACTGAGAAACTTCACCCGGCGGCTCCATCACATTTCAAGTCAGATGCTTGGATGCATTCTGGCTTTAAAAACAAAGAAAGTAAAAATGAAACTGATATGACGCACGTCATTTGCAAAAGGGGAAATGTTTTCATTTCATTGGTTTAAAGGACCACTAAAGCCATGTGAATGACACCGATTATCCTTATTTTCTGTCCAGCATTTGTTTCCATGGCAACACCTCCAAATGTTGTTTCAATAAATAGAGCTATGTATGAATTCAGTTGCTTTCAGTTGTGCATCAATTGTAGACACCATCCAGATCACACCCTGCCAGTCAGTATGGGCTGTATCTTTTTCTAACAGTGTTCAGTGAAAATATCGCGATGCATCGCGATATTTCAAGTATCATGATGCATCGTGATAGAATCGCATCGTGACTTTTTTGGCAATACCCACCCCTAGTGTATCTATGAAGAACTGCATCCTACTTGGATGTAAAATAATCACCATCATGGCTTCATGTCAAGCTGCTGCCTTCCTTTGTGAAGCAGGAAAAGACTAAAATAAAGTGAATCCAGTAGAACTTTTTATTGCCTACCTGGAATGGGTGACAATAGTTGAATAAACTTTTGACTCTCAAAATGGTATCGTTGCCCTATTGGTTGGTACTCGCCGATACGATACCACCATTTTAGAGCTGGATCTTGGCCCCGCCTGATACTGGTATCGGTGCAACACTAATCAGAAATCCCTCCTCCAAACAGGATTATTTTCTCACACACTACAGCAACTGCCAAACTAAATCTGGCAACAGCAGGTGTTTCACTGAGCAATATACGGCAGCGGTTTGGATTTCACGGCGAGGACAGCGAACAAAAGGCGCTAACTTCTTTTCCAGGTGTTCTCTAAACTTGCCAATGTTCTCAAATTTATACATTTTTCTGCTTCTTTAAAATTCCCAGCAGGTAAAGATCAGTGCTGATCGTTTGGAGATGCTCTGATAACGCTCTAATTCTTGGACAGTATTTCCATTTTTGTTTTTGTAATTTTAGGTCAATTTATTTTTTCATTAAGCCTTTTTTTTTATTATGCACAAAAGATTCCTTATTTATTTTCCATTTTATTCAGTATTGCTCAAGGTCTAACACTGACACCCACATGTGGCAGAATTATTAGTGAAAAGCCTTGAGCTGGTTAACATAAAATTAAATTTGAAACCCAAAGTTTGATTGACTATTTCAGTGCAATTTTATGCACTATTGTTTTTGAAGGTAATTTAAACACTTGGTGATATATATCGTGCATCGCGATTTAGCATAAATATATCGTGATATTAGATTTTCTTCATATCGCCCAGCCCTAATATAGCCGTGCCCGTAGATGTTTCATTCAGGTACCGGACCCGGAGCAGGACCATCTTGTGTCTCTCCAGGACAGCCTGATCTCTGACCCCCCTGCCCCACAGATGATGGACTCTCCATCTTGTCAGAGAATCTAAACCTGCTTTAAGATGAACCTCTGTGGGCTTCAATCAAAGCAGAGCAGGACCGGTTACTGAGGTTTCTAACAAGAACGACCTTCCCTCAGAAACACGACCCAGATGTTGACGCAGCTCTAGTCGGCCTCACCTCTCTGTCTCCTGATGAAGTCCATGATCTTGTGTTCTCCCTCGCCAGGAACGCTGGCGTCAGACAGGAAGACCTGGGAATGAGGAAGAGGAATGGATCTCTGAACTCAGAACCAGCAGAGGATTTCATCCTTCCAGGTTAAACACTCACAACAACGTTCTTCCATCCGGGATCGTTGCTGAGTCGGTCGGCTACGTAGTACCTCAGACACCGAGCCAGGTTGTCCATGAACTCCGTCCCCTGCAGAAACAGCTCAGCCATTCAGAGCAGAACCGAACACAGAACCAGCGTCGTTTTTTTCAACGTTGACGAAATCATTTCATCGACGCACCTTTTTTTAAATGACGATAACTAAAACTGACGAGTTAAACGTGGATCTTTGATGATGACAACCATGACTAGTCATAGGTTTGAGTTTTCATCAACGAAACGAGACAAAAAAACCCCAAAACACAGCGGGTCGTCGCTCAGTGAGTCACCTTGTTCACCTGAACCCCATGGAGAACCTGTGGTCCTTCATGAAAGGTGAGATCTACAGGGAGGCTGCGACACGCAATGAGGATCGCAAACAGATCAAGACAAAGACAAAATCTATGGAAGGAAGGATTCAGAGCGTCATGGTGGAGAAACTAGGCAACATTGGTCACTGATTTGTTTGTTTTTTTTGTTTTTGAACGTCGCAAATGTTTATTTCTGAATTTTGAGTCGTTCTATTGGTTTACCAGCTGAAAATAAACCAGTGAGATGGACATATATTTGATTTTTATTATGTTGCCAAATAATTCTGGACAGCAATATTTACCTGCACACAGACATCCTGATAAAATAACCAAATCTAAAAAAAAACATCAACTTTCAAAGATAAGAAACTTTGATATTAAGGAGTCTTTTGGGTTGATTTAGAACACAATTGTGGCCCAATAATTAAAAATAATCCTCAAAAATACAACTTGCCTAATAACTCTGCAAACAGTGTGTATTCCCAAAAACTAAGAGCGTTTAATGAAACGACTGGATGCAGAGTATCGGTACTTCATCACAGCAGGAAGCAGATTTCTCATCTACGTCAAATTATTTATTTTATACTAAGAGGATAAAAAACTCAATCAAATCCATTAAAAACTTATAAGATTACTCTCAAAACAAACTTATTTTTGCAGGAATGGATGAAGAAATGCTGAGTTTGGAAGTAGAGAACAAAGAGTTCATACAAACTATGTATGATCCTAGTTATCCCTGCTATGGCGACGGAGGATGTGGGATTTCGGGTCAAGAAAATAACCCGGAATGGTTTGGTACTGTGCGCCGAATTCTGACAAACTCTGCTCTGATCTTCAGAAATGCATCTTTGCGTGGCTTAGCTGAAAGTCTGCGCTTCACGCTCCACTCTGATGGTTTGCTCTCAGCAGTACGGCTCTTCCTGCTCTCGCTACTTAATAAACTAGATGTGGCTGATCATCCTCCACCAAGCATAAAAAAAAAAAAAATCACTTTACCATCAACATTTTATTTCTTCCAGCTTTATTAATTAAATTATTTCATTTCTACCAACAGGAATCCCTAAATTATATCCAAAAATATTTGATTGCATTCCGTTTATCTTTGGATAAAGATCCAGATGAAACGGTTCATAGATCTTTGAATATTTCTCTCTCTCGTTCTCGTTTCTATTTAAATATGATGAAAAAAATGTCCTTGTATTGTCATTTAAATATTTCAATATTTTAGTAGCATATTCATTAAATTTAGGTCTGGGTTGCCATGGAATTACAAGGCAGTTATGTAGGTTTTCTCTGTATTTCTTTATATAATATGAAATTTAAATCTACTTTGACCACTGAGCAGCAGGAACCGAGGGGGAAATTCTCAAACATAAAAACAAAACTGCCAAAATAGAAAGAAGAATGTTTTTGTTCTTTGCTTTTTTGGGACCTTGAGTTCATAGTCGATCAGGAAGTGTTTGATTTGGGATGGAAACTTTGGATGTCTAAAACCATTCCTTTATTGGACATTTTGCTCGTCTGTCTGCTATATTAACCAACATGATGTGTTGAACTAGATCTGCTATTTGTTAAGGTTAACCTTCTTTGGCAACATAAAACTGACTAAAACCTTTTTAGTTTTAGTCGACTAAAACCGACTAAAACTATCACATAATAATGACTACCGTATTTTCACGACTATAAGGCGCACTTAAACGTCTTTTTTTTCCCTCAAAATGTGCGGTGCGCCCTATGGTGCGGTGCGCCCTATGGTGCGGTGCGCCCTATGTGTGTTGTAACTGCGACTTTTGAGACCACCTCATTGAGGAGATGATGAAAGAGTGGCTGAATGTAAGGAGACCAGGTGTTTTTTTCCACTGATCACCATCGCTGTTAATATGTGACTCCATGGGTGCCCATCTCACAGCTGATGTGAAAAACATGGGGAAACAAATTAACGCTGTGTTCAACCGCTCGACATCGGTGTGAACCGGACCCAGCAGGTGCAGCAGAAGCAG